CATTGAGCAGGAATCACATTGACATTTCATTTGAGCAGGAATCACATTGACATTTCATTCGGGCAGGAATCACATTAACATTTTATTCTGGCAGGGATCACATTGACATTTCATTAAGCTAGTATTCACAGTGACATTTCATTTGGGTAGGAATCACATTGACATTTCATTTTGGCAAAAATCACATTGACATTTCATTTGGACAGCAATCACATTGACATTTCATTTGGACAGCAATCACATTGACATCTCATTTGGACAGCAATCACATTGACATTTCATTTAGGCAGGAATCTCATTGACATTTCTTTTGAGCAGGAATCACATTGACATTTCATTTAAGCAGGAATCACATTGACATTTCAATCGGGCAGAAATCACATTGACATTTCATTTGGACAGCAATCACATTGACATTTCATTTAAGCAGGAATCACATTGACATTTTATTTGAGAAGGAAACGCATTGACATTTCATTTGAGCAGGAATCACATTGATATTTCATTTAGGCAGGAATCTCATTGACATTTCTTTTGGGCAGGAATCACATTGACATTTCATTAGGACAGGAATCACATTGACATTTTATTTGAGAAGGAAACGCATTGAAATTTCATTAGACCAGCGTGGTGTCACAGTGGCATTTCATTAGGGCATGATGTCACAATGTTATTTATATATTTCATTGTTTCTGGCATTGACGATTGAAATGTTGGATAAAAACATGGCAATCAAAAAAACAATGAGTATATGTGCAGTGTATGCAAAAATACAATTAAACATTGTCACTGAATGAGAAATATCTTTAAATATTTGGTTATATTTATTTGACTTTCACACATCATTATTTTTATTAATACAATAGTAGTATTTGTTTGGATTGAATTGGATGAATACTTCCAAATGGTTTATTTGTACAAGTGTTATAATATTGATTTTGATGGAAGGCATTTCATATTTCTGAATTTAATATCTCTCAATATTTTATTTAAAAAAATCTGCTATTGTTATATACAAAATGAGAATATCTTTCTGTGAAGCTGGTAATAATCATCTTACTCTTGATTATCGTAGATCAATGCTATGGCTAATAAAGCCACAGGTAAAGGCTATGAAAACACAGACTTCTACCTAGATATCAAATTTCAATTTCTGGGAATTGAGAATATCCATGTGATGAGAGGCAGTCTACAAAAACTTATAGAAGGTATGTAACTCTGTTTATCCCCTTCAACTTCATAGTCATTGCCACTAAATTTTAGCGATTTGCACATTTTTGGGGTGTGGCACAGCATTTTCGCCTCTCAGTTAAGGTTAGTCAAGGCCAACATTTCCTGAAACTACTGTAGACTACTTTATTTTTGCTTGGAATTTATTTTCGCTATTTTCGCTGAAGGGATGATTCCGTGAAAATAAAATCCAGCGAATATACTTTTTTTTTCTATATTTCACAGTAAACTGATCAAAAATCAGTGAAAATAAGTTCCATACAAAATGCCCAAAAAGCCTTTTCAGCGAAAATTAATTCCAGCAAAAATAAAGTATTCCACAGTATGCTGAACTATTTTTGCTGACCTTGTTTTTTGAATTGTGAACTTATACATATTTTGCCCATATTCCAATCCAAAATGGCCACCGAAGTAGGGGTTCACACTCCAGGAAAATTGTAGTCATTGTTTTTATGGAAACATGTTTATAAGAATTTGTATCAACAATTTGTAGCATTTAACAAAAATATTGTTTAGCCTGTGTTTTCAAATGTGACTGAATTGTATCCATGGTTAAATGAAATAAATAATTTTTTTTTTTTTTTCATAACAATCTGTTTAGCCTGTGTTTTCAAATGTGACTGAATCGTATCCATGGTAACATGAAATAAATAAAAAAAATTCTCTTTTCATACCAATCTGTATACTGTAATTATAATGTTATGCTTGTATTTTCTCACTAAGTTTGTGAATTGAAGAATCCATCTATGAGTTCATTTCTGGATGGTTTGGAAGCTAGCTCCTGGTTAAAACATATTAAAGCAGTCATGGATACGTCTGTGTTTATAGCCAAGGTATATCCATTGTCAGTTATTTATTGATTATTTACTGAACGTCTAACAAGGTCACAATAGGTTTTTGTATTGCTTCGAACAGTAGAAATTCAACAGGGATCAATTGATCAAATATTAAAATTGAAATTTCCTTACGTCATTGTGTCAGTGAGTTTAATTGACGAAATGGACAACATTAATCAAAACCGTCATTAAAAATCGATGACACAGGAAGTTTTCCCCAATGAGGGTTTTTCTCATCATTTGCCAGGAAATCAGGATTTACAAGATGACTAGATTGCATGGCAACGTCGCTATGAAAACCTCGGGAGTTTTCAACTCAGACAGAATGAAACACTGCATAGCTTTGGGCCAGATAGTAACGCTGGTCAACCTGAGTGAAAAATAAATCATAAATAATTCAGTGATGAGACTGCAATGAGTTCAATTTAGTGAAATTCTAGATGCAACTCATCAAAGTAGACAGAATAGCATGTACTACGGTAATACAAATAGATAAAAGCTTTGTGACATTGATAAAAAGGCATCAGTAATCGCGATAAGATCCTGTTATTTCAATATTGATATATATTTGCAAATATATTTTAATTTTCTTGTCTTAAATATTTAATTTTTAATTTCAATAAAAGTCACATTAGTGTGCAGTGACATTGGTGCACCTGATGTCCATGAGTTTGGTTTATCTATGAATAATAATTATAACAGGTCTTATTGATGTACATTATTCCTTTGTTGTGATTTGTTTGGCAATTCAATTAATGTGTGCTTTGACTGTTTTCATAAAGGCTGTTGCTGAAGAGAATGCCAGCGTTTTAGTACACTGTTCGGACGGCTGGGATAGAACGGCACAGACATGCTCACTGTCTAGTATGATGTTGGATCCTTACTATAGAACTTTGCAGGGTTTCCAGGTAATACATGTACATCTTGTAGTGACATTTCTTCTTCCTCGTTGTCCCAGTATTTGTTCAGAGTATTATATGCAATCCTTCCTAATTTTACCAGGAAATTCAGTGTAACCTTTTACCAAGTATTCTATCTATGCAAAAATAAATGTGATTTCCACAAAGCACAAATGACATAAACATACTCTGAAAGCTGACACAGCTAGTGGCGGGACATGTTCAGCTGTCACAGTGGGTGGTGGGCCATGTTCAGCTGTCACAGTTGGTGGTGGGCTCATGTTCAGCTGCACAGTGGGTGGTGGGCCATGTTCAGCTGTCACAGTGGGTGGTGGGCAGTGTTCAGCTGCACAGTGGGTGGTGGGCCATGTTCAGCTGTCACAGTGGGTGGTGGGCCATGTTCAGCTGTCACAGT